TTTTAGAATCAGATCTCCAGAGAATTATCATGGGTAACCGTGACACTACCCAATTCCTTGCGGAAGATCTGGGAATGTACGTGGACTACGGTCCAGGACCCAATAAGCACACCTGGGGCTGCGCTCTGCTCTCCAAGTTCCCGATTCTCAACTCGACACACCACCTCCTCCCATCTCCAGTTGGCGAGCTCGCACCAGCCATCCACGCCACTCTAGACATGTACGGCGAACATGTGGACGTTGTGGTCTTCCACTCAGGCCAGGAAGAAGATCCAGAAGACCGTCGGCTGCAGAGCGAGTATCTGTCGAAGCTCATGGGAGACTCTCCACGACCTTTGATTCTACTCAGTTACCTCGTCACGAAGCCCCTTGAAGGTAACTATAACACATATGTTAGCGAGGCGAGTAGGATGAGAGATATTGACCCAAGCGATTGGGATCGGTGGTGCGAGTATATCCTCTACAAGGGAATTAAGCGAACGGGCTATGCGAGAGTGAGCCGGGGAACTATCACTGATACGGAAATCCAGGTATTCCCTATATTTTCTAGTCTATCTCTAACCTGGGTTTTTTTCGCTAACATGGGTTTCCCTCTTAATTTTAGGTTGGCAAATTCCTCGTGGGTCAACCGGAAGATATATCTAACGTCCGCGTTTCCGAAGATCATGTACCTGCCGGACTGCGATTCCCGGCTCTCTTCCGGGGCCAAGGCGTCCGTGGCCACAGGTACCATGTGTTTGATGAGCCGCGCTATTTCGTTTGAAGAATGTTTTCTTTCCATTTCTATGTCTATATACCTCCCATTCTCTCTTTTTCCCAAATTTCTCTATATTTTGTCATTCGTCCTGTTATGTATTATTAATCTTCTTATGATATTTTACTTCTCCCTTACTTCTCCGATTATTTAGTTTATATATGTGGTGCTCCAAGAAGGCGGGAAAGAAATAAGAACAATACATAATTGCTTCTGCCTGGCAGGTTCTTTTTCAACTGGTTCCGGTTAATGGTCAACTGGCCATGACTGCTCTGTAATCACGTGACATTATGTGGCCAATAACCTCAAGGTGATTTGCCCAATCTGGGACTTATAACGTCATTGCCTCGATCCGCCAGCTCCTCTAAGAACCCTGTTTGCAACAAGGGTGAGAAAGAAAGCATGTCTAGGTATCCTGAACGTCATGTCTTCTATTACTTCTTCTCCACCTCTAATTCCTATAATAAGTACCGACCGCCTCCGCCTACGACTCGTCAGCAAGCAGAAGTAGCCATTTTGACAAGAAACAAAACCTAAACGTCTACATTTTATTTTTAACTTATATTCTTTTCATTTATCCATTTCCCCTCTCTCCTTCTCAGCCTCTCAAGCCGATATCTAAATAGCCCGAGGCGAAAAAACACCAGTCTGAAGACTTACGACAAGGATACGAAACCACCACGGATTCAGGATTTTTCAAACACGCCAACAACGAAGCAATCATGTCCAAGTCACGTATGCCAGTGTACTTAGGCCTTGCCGCTGCCGGTGCTGGCGGATATTATCTCTACCGTGCAGGAGGCGATCCCAAAAGAGCCACTAGGAAGTTCGAAGGTGGGTAGCCAGATTCTCCAGTGGGATATAGCTAGCTTAGCAATGGTTGCTATTCGTCATTCGAGGAGGAACTGCAATCTCCATGCCATACAGTTTAAAGAGACAAGAAGTATCGAGCTGACCAAGTGGCGTGCGGTTGATGTTTTTTATTTTTTGTAGATGATGCTTCTCGCGCTGGGTCGAAAATCCGAGACGAGAGTAACAAGGCGCTGGGCCATGGTAGTGCTGAACAGGTTGGAGCAAGCATAGATCATGCGGTCAGTATATATGTTGTCTTTCTCTCATTTACTTGCTAGAATTCCCCTTATTTTCTCCATTCTTACCGAAATTACTTAAATAATATGTTCACTACCTTTACTCTATTCTCTCCAAAAATCTCACCGAAAGGGGCAAACTTCAACGGGATGTTCTTTTTCCCACTCTCCTTGCCTACTGCGCTGTGTCTGTGGAACTCATGGCTGATGCAAGCATCGATACCAAGCAGGATGAGAGAGCGACCAAATTTGCCAAGGTAGAAGCCGAAAAGCTCAATAAAGCCCGTAAAGATGTTGCCAAAGATATAAATGAAAAAATCGATACATTCGACAAGAGCGTTGAGCATAAAGCGGCCGAGGCTCAAAAAGGCATCTCCTCCTGGTTTGGTGGGAAGAAGTAATGGGATGTAAGGACGGGGACTGACGATTGATAAGGATTTCCAGAAGGAAAATAAGAAAGATCGTCCGAATCCAGTTCCGTCAGGTTCCTCTTCTTTTGAACTTTACTTTCATTTCATGGCTCATGGCGAAATATGCCTTTGATGCGTTTTTTCTTTTTCGTTGCCTGCTTATTCATGCAACGGTTGCGTTCCAATGGTTTCCATGTTTGTTTTGTGTTCACAGCTATTGTTAACTGAAATATGTCGCATATGGCCCATCTTATGAGCCTTCATGCAGTGAAAGGTACTCAACTCAGCAAGGAATATACGAAGGATCCAGAAACAGGCGGTTCCCTTGTCGCGAATTTTCTCGGCCAGAAACGGAGAGAGTGATTGTCTTGAGTGAATGGAGTAAGTTCTGTTATGGTTTTTGGATCGAAACTGGCTGTCATCTGTAATCAATGATGTGCACAGAAACCTTTTATACCTACGTGGTCTATATTCAGAGACTAGTAAGTTTTGTTTATTCAACCCCGAAGGCTTTTTCCAGGAGTGTAAGAATGAGGGAAGACGGCTTTTTTGGTGTCCCCCAAAACCAGGTCTATGTGCACAGCATGTATACATCATCGTTCACTTCTTTGTCTTGATCTGATTGTAAAGCTTCGCCTTCATATTCTTGATGGCTTTGGTGATTGAAATCAATTTAACCCAATCAAGTAAGGCGGCTTGACGCCAAGGGCTTTGTCGCGTCATTTGTTGCGCGTCGCGTCCATCACGTCTCGAGTCTGCGGGATCAACAAAACCTCCACAACGCCAAAATGCCACTCTTCTTTCTCTGTAGATTCCAAATTTCTCCACCTCTTCCTCATTATCCTCTTCCATACTCATTTCCTTATTCCCTATTTACAGAGTAGTTCCTTACTTCCAATAATTATCTTAAATCTCTTAATCATCCTCTAAGGAAAGCATTATGGGCACAAAGCTCCTGCGCTCCCGCACCTCCCGAGCCTCAGCCCGCTGTGACACACAGCAAGGCGCGATACAGAGATTTGGAAAGTCGAGAAAGGCAGGGACAGGTGCAGGGCTATCGGATGCCAAAGACGTCGTTTCCTCGAAGAAACGTAAAATAGGCGATAGCCAGGTCGAGATTAGCAGCAGGAATGAGCACGAGAACTCACTTGACGACGAACCCATTGCAAGAGCGCCTAAAGTAGCAAGGCTGAGAAATTCCTCTACCTTATTGCCTACACCCCATTCTTCCTCTTCCTCATGCATTACGACAGGGTCGACATCTCCCTTAACGCCAACGAGGCGTTTTCGATCCCCCAGCCCATCTCCATCCACAACCGATAACCGCAGATTTCAGCAACCAACCCTATCCAATACCAACATCAATCCTGATGAAATATTAGATAATGATGATGACAACTGGCCCCAATCCTTCTACGATCTTACAAACCTACATTCTTCCTTTCTTACCGCTTTATCGCTAAACTATGCTCATAATGGCCGAAACACATCTACGGACCTCAACCAACTACTACCATGCATAGAGAAGATATGGAAAAAGCGCAAGGTCGAGAGGAAAGACCTACAAAGACTGTTGTATATATTAGAAAGCGATCTGGAAATATCGGACAGAGAGAAAGGCTCAAACACTGGTCCGCGCTTCAGAATCGCCAAATATGGCGTCGGAAAGTTCTGTTTGGAGTTACTAAACACAAACACCCCAAATAACAGATTCGGGGCCCCCATTTAACGAAACTGAGTTAAATGATCTATTCACTCGCAATCTCGGACGCATCTGGCGGAAGAACCTAAAGGATTCTGATCAGAAAGAATTAAACGTCGATTTCCCACACACCATCCCACTGGCTCCCATCCACGATTCATCCACTATCTTTAACTCGCTAAGCATTGGACAACAACGTCTTCTCGATTTCCAAAGAGGAGTATTGGGGGTGAAAGCAGCGGTCGATAATCCCGAAAGTCGCAAATGTGGTGAAAGAGCAGCATCTTACGCAAGAAGCTCGTGTGGTGCAGGTACCACAGGACGACGGAACGGGCTCCTTCAAAGAATCCAGAACAAACAACTCAAGCAAACGACGCTGGCTCCCCCGCTGTCAAAGGAAGCCATACTACGCCGCTCAGCCGTCGATTTGGTTGAAGAAGTTGTTGGCGTATTGATTTTACTGAGGCCGTCATGTTCGATTTCGTCTTCTTCTTTATTGAGTGGGGGACGTGGGTCTTTATCTTCCGCCGCGACCGTCACACCATCACATAAAAAGCCATATAGTTGGAACACCATCATTCAAAATATTCGGGACTCCTTGAGATGCCCGATATCAAACCAGGAGGTGGAGGCGTGTTTGGATCTCCTCGTACGGCCATCGGTTGCCGGGGAGTGGATCAGTATTGTTACCGTGAATAGAATCAAGTCTGTCGTGTTGAGGTCTGGGTGTGATATTTCACCACAGGAGATCGGGGTGAGAGTGGCGCATTTGAAAATTTGATTTCTCATGAGTTTTTTTTCTTTGTTTTCTTTGACATTTTTGGCGTGGTGTTTTTGGTACGACGTTCATGGCATTTTGCATTTTCGCATATAAACGGCGTTTGGATGATTTGATCATGGCGCACGCATTCAGCCGGTGGCTGTTGACGCGTGCGCATACCTGTGCGAACAACGTACTGTTTAAAAATACATGTAAGCATTAGAGAGAGTTCGAATTAAGCATTATCATTGATCGTCTGCACGGGACGTTCTCGATTAGACAGTACATGGCGGTCATTATAAACAACAACCTTCACGCGCGCATTACAGAATCCGCAAGGCGCGAATCATCCAAATTTCTCGCAAGCGATCTTTTAGACGTTCCAAAACCAAATTCTTCCCCGCCTTCGACTCTGTACTCGTCTTAAGCTACAGCGAGGAATAATTCAAGCTTGTATTAAACTGCTGTTAGAGGATGGTTTGGAATATACATAGACATCATAAATAAATAAGCTTGGGGTACGCTTCCACGAGAAAATAATGCAATCAACTCAGATTCACAGAAACTGGAGTACAAAATCAGACAAAATTTCACAACTCGGTGTCCGCACTTGATGCTCCTTCGTACCTCAGGATTTGGACTATCTTTATCAACTTATGACGAGGATTACTGGCTGCTGACAAAACGTCTGAATACTACTTAAAGCGAGGGCGGTTCGGAACAGTTGATCATCCTGTATTGCTTTTCATACTCGAGTTGATCTTGAATCACCCAAAATTTCCTCCGGGAAGGGAACGCTGCGTAAAAATGGGCGTCCTTTTATCTTGCCAGGCTATCTGTGTGATTTTCGCCCGCTGGTCTTGACATGACATACCGAGCTTGGGGGGGTGGATGGCGTAGTGGTAAGCGCTGTTCATGGAATGCTTTCTCAAGTAGACACTTGGTGTTGGGGCCACCTCTGCTGAGACAAGAAGGTAGTGGGTTCGAATCCCACCCTCTCCAAAAGGATATTATCACATCTTGGTGGATATTGGGGGTACCCTTTCTTATCTCATTTCTATTGGTAACTGCCACTGCAGGGTGGAGCAATGTTCAACACTATGTATATAGTCTAGATGGATTCAGTATAGTGTGGGATCCTAAGGTGGTATTGCATGAGCAATTGTGGGGCAAGGCCACCCTTGAGGGCTAGATCCAGAATGGTATAGTGAAGTCTCTTCATCAAGAATGACTCAGTTATGAATAGAGAAATGTAACTAGAGAGTAGCTGAACATAAGGGTAGGCTAGTGAGGTGAAGGCTGTCATAGTCTCAGACTGCATATGGCCTTAGAAAAAATATGAAGAACAACAACAACAACAACATACCGAGCTTTCTCAAGCCAACTCCGCGAAACCACGCCAAGCTTCACGGCGATCATTGACACCATGTTAAATAACCTGCTGCGACCAAGCAGGTTGGGCCTGGGTAGTACTCGATGAATTGGTTTCCGGAACTGATTCTTAGGAGACGATAAATATATCCCGAAATATATCCCGAAACCAGTCGGACGGTTTTGGAGCGGTGCGCTTCTTTTGCTTCTTCCTTTCTCATTCATTGTTTCGTTGTCACTTTTCCGCTGGGGTTTCTTATTGCCCTTTACGTCTATATGTGCGTGAGCTAAACATATATGCCTTTACTGACCACGTCCTTATCTTGTAGGTGTAGGGCTAGAAGTATCTTGGGACTTGACGAAAAAGAATTCCGTGATCTTTTGGGGAATAGCGTTGACCATTGGCGAGTGAGACGGATGGACGAACACATTGTGGATGTGGGAGGGGATGTGCCTCCGGCACGAAGCTTGATGGGATTGAAACAACAATGGGTCTTCCATCATTCTGTGGGAGCTTGAAAGAGCCTTTATCAGACGAGCCAGTTCTCAGGACACACGATGCTGGAGCTGGAAAAACTGGGCAATTTTTTTTGTTGAAGCCAGGTCGGTCGAATTCAAAAATTATACATTCAATGACAGTCTTGTATTGATGATTCGAAATGACATATATCTGGTTAATATACACTGGCCGGTACTCGAGATTGACTATAACTGGACACATATGAAAAGAGAGATCCGGGGCCACCATGTACTACTAATTGTACAGTACATCAGGGAAACTAGCCCGTCACCCCCCCACTACCCGTGGAACATCAACTCCTGGCAACTGCTTTATTTGCT